GTCGTTCTGGTGTTGAGAAAAACTTGACGGTGCGTCTCTCGTTTCCGCTGAAAGTTTTTCCACCTCTCTGTCTCTCACATCTGTCTGTCTCAAAGCAGTTGTCTCTCTGGCTTTGGCGGTCTCATCTCATCTGTCTCTTACTTCATCTATACAGTACATTAGATTGCACGGCATTGCATGTCTATGGGGCCTCCCAGAATCTCCCGTTCCTCTTTACCCCACGCATGCATACATCTATATTTCCACACACACACACAAGCTCATGAGTTTGTTTACAGTGTGTTCTGCCTTTGAGCTGGGTGTGAGGTTGAGCAAAGCGAGGGAAGAGGGAACTTTTTTCATGTCCTAGTTTCTTTGCAGTGTGTCCTTCTTAGTTTTGACTCAGCCCGGCTCATCGGGAGAGCGAGGATTAATTCTCTCCGGCTGCGTGTGGTTCTTGTGTGGATCGATAGATCCAGTCGCTCCCTATTTGAGAGGGAGGGCACCACGCTGTTTGTTTTGGCGACAGGAGGGCAGCCCCTGCGAAGTAGCATTAACAATATGCACAGTAAATCAGAGCAGACTCCGGGCAAAGCTTAAGCAAACAAAATGAGTAAAGTGTGGTGTGTGTGTGTTGTGGGCGGGATGGAATTAGAGAGCCATGTTTGCATTGCTACATACCTGTATTGTGTGTAGACGGTTGTGCTTGTATGTGTGTGTGTCCAGATGACTACAAGGCTCTTGTAATGTGTGTGTGCATGTTCGCACGAATGAGGAACTTGATTATTAAGCACTCCATTGCATTTCGAGCACTGGTCCAGTCTCTTGGGCCACAGAGGGCTTGATAAAGAGTGCAGGTCACAGTGGCAAGCGGGACTGTCCGTGCCACTGCCTGCTCAGAATCGATAAAGAGCGGGGGCCTCGAGCCCTCGATGGGCCTGTCAGCGCTCACGCCAGCTTGATGCCAGGGTGAGTCGGCCCGTGCACCGCCAAGGTCGGCCGTAGTTATGAAGAGGTCGAGGATTTGCGCTAGGTAAACACACTGTCGTCTCCCTGAGAATACAAAGCAGCCGTGCCGTGATAACTGTCAGTGAAAAGAGCACGCTGACAAAACAGCGAGGCCAGGTTGGAGGACAGAGAGAGGGAGAGGGAGAGGGAGCGAGACAAAAGGCAAGAGAAGGTTAATGGCAAAGATAGACGGGGAGGAAGAGGAGGATTAAGAGAAGCAGTGTGCAAAAAAAAAAAAAAGAAGATGAGATAGTGATAATAAAAAAGAAAGATACACAGATGAATCCAACTGAAAAGCAAGGCTGCTGTGGCATTGTTGAACACTCAGGATCCAGGTGTGCCTCTGTCGTCTATGTGACCAGTAATAAAATGCTCTCATTAAAAAGAAAAGGGCAAAATGAGCAGAGGCAACACAGGCACACAGTGAAGATTTGTATTGTTATCTGAAAAAAGTAATATAAAAAATTAGCATAGTTAGTTGAATAGGTTAATCATCAAAATAGTGATTGGACAGTGACTGTACTTTCATCCGAGGTGATTATCATTTACTCACATGGATGAATTCACTTGCTTTTCCTTCATAAAGAGGGCCAGAAGGTTTCTGTCTCTCTGCTCACTCTGCTTCCTGTCTTTCAGCACAAGGCACATTTCCACCGCGCTGATTAATGCGCGCCGTAATTACAGTTAAATAGAAATTACGGTTTCATATTTCATTAGGAATCCTCTATTTGACTCATTCCAGATGAGAGTACACAGATTAGTCAGCTGATGTTGTTTGATGAGCGAGCATGTTCGCGTGTTGACAGGACACACTCGGCTCTCGCTGAATCCATCTTTAGAAACTGACAGAGGGGCTGTGAAGAATTAAATGATGGATTATATTTGTGCAGCTGATTTCTGACACTGGCTGAATTTATTGATTTTTAAAAAAAAGACATGAAAGACTGAGAGTCTGCAGCCATGCTAGCAGCTGCGTCAGGCACAGCGATGCTTTGAACGGACCGCCGATGGCACCTTACTAACATGTTCACAATGACAACATGGCATTTTGTTTACAGTGTTCATCATCTCTGAGTTTAGCGCGCTAACATTTGCTAATTAACAATAAGCACAACAGCTGCGGCTGATGAGAGTTACATTAGAGTTACAGGTATTTGATCATGATCCAAAGTATTCTGAGGGGATCAGGAAAGTTTATGACAAGTTTCACGGCAAGCCATCCAAAGTTGTTGAGATATTTTATGCAAAACCAAAGGAAAAGTCACGAATGATCATCCATTTACCAATCTGAGCTGAAACGATGGAGTCCCAAATGGATGGCAAATGACTACTAAGCATAATCTTGAATGAATGAATGAATGAATGAATGAATGAATGAATGAATGAATGAAGCCACCTTTACATTTCTTCGTGTTTGAGTAGCCATGGAAAGTAACTAAATACACTGTTGCCCATAAAGTTGGAAAAAAAATATTTTTCTACCTCTTCTCATGGAATGATTGTGACGATGCGATTTCTTCTTGATAGATGAAGTATGTATCTTCTCAAAACTTTATTGATATCACAATATACATACCATACATATCACAGTAAAAATGTAACCACAATTAACCTTTGCAAACTATGTATTCAGGCTTAAGCAAAATTGGGAGTACTGAACAATAGGATTACGGGTTTTGTTTCAGATTTTCAGCCTTGGTCATGTAACAGGAAACACATATTCGATGGGACTCAATGCATTAGTATGTCCAATATCACTCTTTCAAATGTCCCTGATATTGAGTATGGCCACCCCTGACACGCATCAGTGCGTTAAGACATCATGACATACTGTCCACCAGCTTGTTGATGGTGCCAGTGGACAGGGTGTCCCACTCTTCGGTCAGATCCCAAAGTCAGAATTTGTTTCACCATTGGGTAACTAGGACTCAGTATGCACCTGGTCAAGAGTGATTACTGATGTGTATAAATGAACAACTCTGTAAAATAATGTGCAATAATCATCAATGCACAATAACCAGTGTTTCACTATTTTTACTCTTTATTTTATATTTTTACTGTTTATTTTATCATTTGTATTATCCTTTCCGTAAGCGCATCTGAATCTCCTTGTGTATACTCCGTGTATACAGTGACGATAAAGGAATCGAATCTAATCTAAGAAATAGAAACAAAAAGAGGAATGTGCCTGAAAACAAAATTATGGACGACGGTGTACATTTACTCAAGTACTGTAATTAAGTACAGTTTTCATGTACTTGAAACGTATTGAGTTTTTCCATTTTATGCTGCTTTCCACTCCACTACATTTCAGAGGGAAATATTGTGCTTTCTTCTCCACAACATTTATTTGACACTTTTAGTTACTAGTTATTTTTAAGCTGAAGATTTTGCACCACGGATAATATAATAAGCTTTTAAAATACAACACATTGTTAAACATTAGCTCACTCTGGGCTCATGTTTTACTGCAACATAAAGTCCTGCACCTCTATGAAAAGCACAACCGTGGGAAGAAACAGAGAGAACTCCAAACTGTCTTCTGTGCAGTATAACAAAATTATAATAAGCCACAAATCATTTTAAAAAAAGGAAAAATGAGTTAATTTCTATGATTATTTATTTTGGTTATGTTGGTCTCAGCTATGTCAATCATGGCTTCACAGTTGCCAACAACCACAGATTTATTTTTGTTTTTAACGGAATCTGGTTAGATCAAACGGTTCATTTGGGTTGTTGTTGTTTTTTTTAACACATAAAGAATAAAGTGATGAAAAATTACTATTTTAAGCTTAGAAGTGGTTAAGTTTCATAACTGAATTGCACATCACAGATGAGTTAAAAAATAAAAATAAAAAAGGGCCAGTTGGAAGTTGAAAATCTAGCAATTCTGTTTTTACAGTTTCTGCTTCTGATAAATGGTGTCATTTTGGCAATCTTTTTACAACAACATGCCTTTCAAACCTGGGTTTTGAAGTTTAGAGGGTTAAACCACTGGTTTCCAACCTTTTCTGGCTTTTGATGTCTTACAAAAAGCAGTGTGCAGCCGGGTTCACATTTCAGATGCCTGTGAGTTGTCAACAGCTCCACCAAATAGTGATTTTTCTCTCTAAACTTCTCACATGGTTTCATTTCAATAAACGTTCAAACGATCCGATCTCGCCATAAATGAAAGATGAAAGAAAAAGTCCAAAAACTGAAAACAGATTTGTGTATCAGAACTGGGTTTTTTTTATTTCTTCTTCTTTTCTCCTTCATTAATCATCTGATGACTTCTCAGATTTATCTTCTGTCCCTGTATATAAAACTGTATATAAAGTACTTCAAACTCACTCCACTTGCAGCAGCAGCGGTTGACATGCTGCTGACACATTGATGCTTTGGTCTTATTAATATAATGAGGTCAAATATAATAATATCTCAGACCAAACCAGAACTTTTACTTCAGTACTGTAACTACATTTTGCTGCTAATTCTTATGTACATTAAATAAAATAGGATTTCTCATGCATCACTTTTACTTGCGATGGATTATTTTTATATTGCTCTGTTGGGATTTGTACTTAATTAACAGATGTGAATTCTTCTTCCATCACTGTGTTTGAGACATCAGTGTAGTTTCAGATATATTTTATTGATCGGACCTAAGATTGGCAGCTTTAAAAGCCTCTACCTGTTGATGGAATCTGTCAGATTGCTAGTTTAAAATCAACACAAGAGATAGGATTTGCTTTTTCAGCGTAAATCGGACTAAAGCTTTTAGAGTATCTCTTAGCTGCAAGAGCAAAGGCACATTCGCTGTTATCAAGAGCAGTGATTGACTCTCTGCCCTCTTAATGCTCTTCAAAACAAATGTGCACAGCGATGCCAGAGAGGGAGGACAACTATCATCTGCTTTCTTTGAGAAAACAACAGCGTCTCTAGTAAATGTTGTCTTCACGCTGAGAAACACTAACAATAGCTTGTGTTTTGACAAGGGTCTCATTATTAGCCTTGCTCCTTCTCTCTAACAGGCGAAGTGCTTCGTCTGGGGAGAATCTCGGGCCACACGGTGAACGGAGGCTGGTCGTCCTGGAGCTCCTGGTCTCAGTGCAGCAGAGACTGCAGTCGGGGGATCCGTAGCCGAAAACGGACCTGCAGCAACCCAGAACCCCGGCACGGAGGTCAGACCTGCATGGGCCCGGCACAGGAGTATCAGGAGTGTAACATCACCCCTTGTCCAGGTAAGAAAAGAACACACATATGGTATGTGTGCTCTACTTGTCAGCTAAAATAGCAGACACACATGGTTAGAAAAAGAAAAAACCATTGGCTCAATGAGGACAGAAAAAGACAATAACAATTACCAGAACGTGAGTCAATAACTGAGCCAGCTCTCTTTTCCACTCACAGATAAATACACACTATGCTTAAGCTATGTTTTCTTTCCCCACCACCCCCACCCCCCGTTGATTAATGGATAAAGAATTACAGTGACAAAATGACTTACCAAATAATCAGGATCCACAAAAGAAATCAGTTGCAGATAAGAGGTGTGACGAAGACCCCAATTTAAACCAAGAATCAAAGCGACAATCCCTGTGGTGCTCCAGTATGTAATTACATTGCTGGGTAATTATGCTTCCAGCTATGGGAGGCCTTATTCTGTTGTGAAAAGCCCTGAGACAATGCATTTTCAACACTCCTCTGGCGGAAGACGGCGAAAGGAAGCTTTCTAATTAAAAGAATACTCCGTCTGACAGGGGAAGTAAGCTGTCTAAATGGAAATCCAGTGCTTAGTTTGGCATAAAGCACACCTGGTATCCAACACGGACGCCAAGCAGACAAGCAGGACGTTGTCTCAGATGATTATTAATCAAGCCCCCTGGAGAACGGTTTTGGTATCTCGCTAAAAGCCTGGATCTGTGCGTCTTCTTCGGCACGCACGATCTGTCTTCATAACTGCTGCCAGGCTGCGAGCAAGCAAAATAGACACGAGAGTGAGCGAGCATCTATGCTATTTTTACAGCCTGTTAATTCATTCAGCCAAAGTGTGCACCATTCAACTCCCCAGCAGCTCGAGCGTTGTCGCTAATAGGGTAAGCTGTTATCAGCCGCAAGCTCAGATGAAGACTTTGGTTGGATCTAAGAGCATCAGATTTGCTTTATCCCGGAGGATGGTTGCCAGAAGTGCTCCCCTTGAGTAAAATGTCGGGTGAATGTGCTTTGATTTTCCTGTGCCGCATCACTATGCTAATACATGTAGTACACCTATTCTGGGATGTTGACTGTAATAATACCAAAGCTACAGTATGTTGATGAACAACTCGGCACTCCTGTCCCCCCGAGGAACCGACTTAACCCAGCCTGAGTGGCAATGAATACTAATGCATACTCAATTAGCACCCCTCTGAAAGTGAGATATTATTTTGAGACCGACGGACCAATTGTAATCCTCCTATGGCTAATCCAGTGCTCTTTTTTAAAATGCGTTAGTTCACTGTGAAGGAGAAGGAGAGAAAAGGTGTTATGCCGACCATCCATCTGGTTTGGAAACAAATGAATCCGTGTTTTTCTTGCGTCTGCGCCTGAGATGAGACGATCCGTCATCGAGGGCCAGGAATCGACTTATGTGTCACTTTGTGATAGAGAAATTACACTGAGATGACAAAAAGCATTGGCAACTTCAATTACCTGCACAGCGCTGCCAGCCATCTTCAGGTCTTTAAAAGCAGTTGAAAAGGGAATTTCTTTATGCCACAATGAAGTGAGGTTTTATCCAGATGACTGGTGAAGGATATTTACTTCTGTTGTGATTCATGTGCAAAGACATTTTAATGCTCTTTTTATTTACTCCTCTACTCTTTTTCAGTCCATTCATCTTTTTATACAGTACGTCCTCCTCATGCGCCTGAATGAATATTCACGTCTTTTAAATGTCTGTTGTTTGGCGCATGACCCCGCATGAAAGGAAGGAGCGACGACGTGGATTGAGATGCCTCATTTATCTTAATGAATCACAGCAGAGACAGGAAGATGCTGGGGTCAGAAATTTACTGTAACAGCTGGATGAAGCAGAATCTCTCTCAGTTCAAAACACACATTCACACCTATTTCTGCAGTTTGGAATAACTTCTAATCACTTGGTGTTCAGAGGAAATTGTCTTTTGAAATGCGGTGGAACCCAAAAACTACACAATGTAAAAGCACAGATTTTAGGAGCAACAATCTGAAATTTAGTGGCTGCTTATACAAATATAACCTGGCTTTTTTTTTTTTTTTAAGTGATGCACGATATTAAAGTTTCTGGCTAACAACGATATTAAGATTTCTGATATCACCGATGTCGATATTCAATTTTTTGTTCGTACTGTGAGAAACTATTCAAAAGAAGCCCGTACCACATTAGACCACATAGTCTTCTTTATTATGTCACAAAAGTAAAACATATTTTATCATATTTAATATTGAAATCCAGGACTATTTCAGTAAAAACATCTGTGAAATAGCAGCAATATCAAATGTAGAGACAACGGCGCTAATGCTAGACAATCATTGGTTTTTCACATCAGCTAAATTTGTTCATTGGACCGAAACCGATATATCAGAAAAAACACTCGGCCAACACCAATATGGTCCATATATCGTGCATCCCTACTTTTTTTCTTTCTTTTTTTTTTAACTGACAATTTGACACTGGTTTCCCCGGTTTAGTGGATGGCAGCTGGTCATGCTGGTCTTCATGGTCCAAGTGTTCGGTGACGTGCGGAGGGGGACACTACATGAGGACGCGAACCTGCAGCAACCCCCCGCCGGCTTACGGAGGGGACATCTGCCTGGGTCTGCACACGGAGGAGGCGCTCTGCAACACACAGCCCTGTCCAGGTACACACACATAGCTACACACACACCTCAGTGATAAGCAGCTTAGTGCCTCGACTGGGCCACCAATCCATCATGGGTTCATTGCTTATTTTCTTCCGTTCCTCTCGGCCCCTCAGCGGCCACTCATGCATCACTAATGTACACAAACAGTACAGTGCACACACACATATATAGACACACACTTGACAGGCTATAAAATATGCTGTCACCCCCCCGTTTCCAGAGAGCTGGTCCAGCTGGTCCGAGTGGTCCCACTGTGACTCCAGCGGCGCCCAGCTGCGAGTGCGTCACTGCGATGTGCTTTTCCCGACTGGAAACCAGTGCTCAGGAAACAGCAGCGAGACCAGGCCGTGCTCTCCTGACTCCAATTTTATACCAGGTGATCACGCACACACTCTGCACAGCATGCCAGCACACACCAGCTTCCTCTTCAGCGATGTCTCGGGCACTCATGCATGACTTAACACACGAGTTTCGAGCGCACGCACACATCCTGCACCACCCACCACCATATGCCCACAGCGGCAATTCAGTTCATTTCCAAGAATCCTGTGATAATGAAATGCGTTATTGATCCCTCTAAGGGACCCGTCTCATGTCAGAGGTCAGGTTCAGCGACAGGGCAGCACTTTTGGAGATGGTCGGGATTAGTAGCGTCTTGCTCAAGGACTCCTGAGTGCGGCAGGTGATTACATGGGGGCGTGAACTCGGGTGCCACACTTAAGGGCAGTCTCCCTACTCATTTCGACAATCCCAGCGCTGCATTAGCTTCATTATGAGCCTGGGTGTCTTGTCAGGCCATACAAAAAGCACTTACACCAGCAGTTTTACTTTTCTCAAATGGAAGAAATGGCTCCTGTACGCTGTTTGCTGCGAGGCATTTTTGCTTTTCCTTCACTCTTCTCTGGCATCTGTGTTTTCTTAATCATCTTACTGTACCTTAAGTGTTGAAATCTTTTTTTATAACAGGATTAATTGCACTGTTAAGGACACAGTGTGTGGGAGTGTTTCTGTTATTTATTAAAGATGCAAATGCAACAACTTCTGAAATGTCAATTCAAAATAATTAACCACATTTAAGGTACTAAAAGTGGTATAATAAGATAAGATAAGCATTATTGATTTCACACAGAGAATTAGCTGCTTACCGGTATCTGCCAGTTCGCAGAGACACCCGCTCTAAGGTTTTTTTGTCTCACAATCTCAAGCTGCCTGAACAAATCTCACCCAAAACAAGGGGAAGGATCACAAACCACTGCGTGAAAAACATATCAGTAGTGACTGTAGATAAGGTAAAGAGGCTTTTTCTGCACACAAGACAGACACTATTTCCACTGTGGAGCCACAAACTAAACACTTTTCACATATGTTGAGTTTTGCTTTAGTAAGTTTCCTCTCATTTGACATTTACTAGAAAGTGAAATATCCATGAAAACTTTTAACGCAGACAGAGTGTGTACAACGTCGAAATACTGAGTCTCACCAGTATTTTCCTCCTGCCTCCGAATGTAATATGGATTTTGACATAACATAAATAGGAGCTGAAGTTTTCTGTGTTGCTTGCAGCTGTTTGTAGGAGTATTTCCCCTGGGTTTGTGAAATATTTGCAGCATCATGCAGCAACAGAATCAATATGTGCATGAGAGCGAGAGTTGCTGTGCACATGACGCACGTGGCACGACAGCCAAAATTCCATCAATTATTAAGTTTTCCCTAAATACAAGATAGTCACGCAAACATCAGTCAAACAGTTTGTCTCATAGCAACCATTCGCAGGTTCAACCCTCAAGTCAGCAATACTCATTCAAGTTAAATATAATCAGTATTTCAGTCTCACAGTGTTTATTTTGTTCCTGAATGCATAAAGGATAAAACTTCTCTTATATATACGGGAAATAACAATTTATGTCAGGCTGTACCGGTAAGGTTTAACAGCAAAGACACTTTTATTGTGACATAAGTTACTGAAGTTCGTCTTTTTCTTTGTTTACAAAATCATGACTTCAGTTTTGAAAACTTCTGTCAGCAACACAGACATCATATTCAGGCGGTTGTATTTTTAAGTGTTTTGGGTGTTATTGTGCTGCAAAGCATGTTTCAAGGATATGCTCCTTTTTTGAACTCGAACACATCACGCCTTTCTCCTCTCAGGCAACTTCAAAGATCTGTTCACCCAAATTACAACAAAAATTACTAACTTCTCAGTAACCTAGTGGTCTGTCTCTATTCATAGAGTGAGTTATTATTTTTATGTCCATGTTTTGTAAGTTTGCTGATGAATTTAATTTGTGATGTTCGCCGCATTTCACTTAAAATTCAAGCTTTCTTTTTAGAATCACTGCTTAATACAACAGAGCTGAATACATAATCACCAGAAATAACTGTCTACTGTTTTAATGGGACTTTTTTTTTTTTTACTTCAGACACACTTTGAATTAAGGTGTCCACAGTGAGGTCTGTTGAAATTTGCATCTTCATTGTATTAGGAGAAATCAGCGAAAGCCCCCCCACTGCCACCAAAAAAAACAACAAAAAAAAGGATGAAAAAACCCGACAAAACCTGACTCCAGCTGGTATCCGAAAGTAGCCCTGCTGTTCCCTAACCCGTGCCCCCCTTAGTTTTCATACACCTGTCAAGCTTTCGGTTTTCTCTCTGCACATAAGCACCTTTAAGTGACATTAGCTGCAGATTTACCACAGCTTTTGATGGCCACATACATGATGACATTGTCTATAAAGACAACGCTATGAAAGCCGTATGCACAGCATCTTTACAAGCTGATTATACATGCTGGAGGCACTAAATGAACAAAACAAGATTGTTCCTGTATTGCACTGTGGAGCTACTTAGTCCTAAAGAGAAATGTAAGATTAGACTGTTCAGTGTTTGTAGCCTGAATTCTAATCAAGCTCCAAAACAAGGAAAGTTGCAAAATTTAATCTAAGCTGACAAACCAATATCAAGTGACCGGTCAGTTGGACGATTACTCCACCTTTCATTTTAAAATCTACCAACTGCACACTCACACACATATATATTTCACACACCATTAGTATTGACCTCTGCTTAGACAGGCATCTCCCTATTGACAGTCCGTAATGCGAGACACAGAAAAGCATTGATCTCTGCTTCACAGACATCCTTTAAACTCTTCCTTCTAGCAAAGGATGCTCATAATATTCGCTCTGTGTATCGCTGGGAACACTTCTAGGACTATTAAAGCACTGTATATATTTGCAAAAGTCAGATATTCATGAGTAAAGTCTTGGAGTCTTTAAATATCAGGGGTCATTAATTATTAGACAGAATAAACATTTGATTGAATCATACATTTGTAACCTTTTCTATATTAATTAGCGGGCACATAATACTCATGAAAGCCTTCACAGGTCTTTACAGAATTACCCATTTGCCTTTATACCTTATCATCCATCCCTTTTTATGGGAAAGGTAGTCCATTAAGGTTCATTAGCAACGTCTTGTACTTCATTTCCTTTAATGGAAGCTGATACTTTTCATAAACCACTCCAGGTGCCACAGTCGTGATTAGCTCGCGGAGTTTTTACGATAATCTGTTCCGTATTGAGTACAGCTTTCATCTCCACACTCACCTTCAAGGGTACAATTTGTCATGCTAACAGGGGGAGTGTATGCGTATGGTTTTTCTTGGCCCTAATACGTCTGCCTGTTTGTTTTTTTTTCTCCATGTTTCTTCTCCCTTGTCAGAAGTCTCGATCGCACGCTCCAGTCAGGAGGAGAGGCGCTGTGGAGGTAATTTGTATGTGCGTGTTTGTGTGCGAAAGCAATAGAGAGGAAGTGAGGAGAGTATAGCACCTGGCATGACACATGTCGAGGATCACAGACATCAAGATAGCTCTCCAGTCCTGCCTGGCGGCATGTAAATAGAGAAGGAAGGAAACAGTGAGGAGAAATCATGTTCTGATCACACAACTGCAGTTTTCTTTTTTCTCTCTCTCTCTCTCTCTCCCCCAAGCCATAAATACAGCATTCATTTCAAACTATGATCAGACTGTAATTAATATGTCAGATTACTGTTATTATGAAGGAATTATTAGAGGACGTTTATTGAGTAATTAAATCTTGACACAATAGCTATTATTACTTGCTTGATATTGCAGCGTATAAAAAACAGCATCAAGTAATTTACCTCGTCTTCCTTTGCCATTTCTTTTTCTTGTTGTTGCATAAAGAGATCCTCTCGCACAACAGAAAAAGACAGAAAGAAGCAACAAAAAACCTTTATTTTTCAGCTCAGAAGGATCTTTTTTTTTTATTGCAGAACATGCCACCGTTACCATGTGAATTGCAGCTTCAATAACCGCTTTCAATGTGAGAACTGACTGAGAATCACCCGCAGGTCTCATTCTCGCTCTTTCCCGCTCTTTCTTCTCCCAGACTTCAACCTCTTCCACATGATCGCCGTGGGGCTCAGCAGCTCCATCCTGGGCTGCCTGGTCACCCTGCTGGTCTACTCGTACTGCCAGCGCTACCAGCAGCAGTCGCACGACGCCACCGTCATCCACCCCATCTCGGCCGCGCCGCTCAACACCAGCATCACCAACCACATCAACAAACTGGACAAATACGACTCGGTGGAAGCCATCAAGGTCTGTAGACAGATTTGCTCCGGGTTCACTGCGGGTCACACTTGACAGATGTTGGGATATGTCGAGGCAAAACAGCAGTTTGCAACATTTCCTCACTGTTCCGCTTAATCAATTGATGTCACACTCGCAGTCCGAGTCAGTGAGCAACGGTTTGCCTCTTCCCCCAGTGTCAGCTGTGATTAAATACACTTCTTGCTGCATGACTCTCAGTGTCACACCACCTCCCTGTCGTGCGCCGACACACTCCAGTCGTGTAACGGATAGGCAGTTGTGCGTTCATCCTCTCTCCGTTTCTGCTGTGTGTCTCAGTGTGCGACTTGTTCTGTGTCAGTGGTCATACACTGCTTTCTCATAACATACTAATGCAATTAGCGATCGGTGCGTGGGTAGGTAATCAGCGGAGTAGCTTGACACATTTTTCTGCTCAGACTAGTTCTCAGTGTCATTATTGCTTCCTAAAGCGCAGACAGTTGGACTTATTAGAGCCAGTGAAGGAGATCCAGCCGCTCTCATGGTACAAACAGCCTCTTATCCACTGATACATTGGGGCCTTTAGCGCCAGCCCAGGCTGGTGATTAGTGCTTGTCCACAGATACTCCATGCTCCTGCTGGTCTTTTTTTTTTTTTTTTCAAGGATTCCCTGAGTTCTGTGTGAAAGAGAACTGGACCACTTTAACAGCCTGTGCATTTTGTACTCAGAAATCAGATTTCAGAACCAATTAATCTGGCACTGTGATTTCACAGCAAACAATTTCATCAGTGTTAATTGAAAAAAAATGTAATTTGTAAGATAGTCGTGTACCTATAGATCTCAGTATTGATAAGCAGCTATTGAATAAGTCTGGACAGTAGCATAAATCAACATCTCAGAGGAGCTAAGCTGATATTTACTGAACCCTGCCTTAATTGCGGTTCTAGTTTTCACTGCTGTGTCTCTAATTACATGTTGGGTAAGACTGATCCTTCACCTGAGCTGTCGCCTTAGTTTCAGCAGTATATCATGTTTGAAGCAATCATGTGCATGTAAGTTTCCTGTTCAAAAAAAAAAAAGAATTAAAAGTAATCTTGCAAGAAGTTGTGCTGTTTTAGCTCCAGCATCACACTGTAAAATTTTATTTCTCATGCTGCTGAAATCCATCAAACAGTGGCAGAATTTTTATTTGGTTTTGAAACAATGGGTCCTTGATTGCCGCCTCAAGTGTAATCAATTATTTCATTACCTTGTTTTGCTGCTATTATTAGAGTCTTTGCAAACAGTGGCATTCAGTTTTTACTTTACAAGAGAGAAGCCATATAAAACAAGGACAAACCATTGTGTTTTAGTCATGTACCATGTCTCCATTAATCTTAACTGAGGTTAAGTGTGTACAAACTTGATCAAATCCAATAAAGAGCAGACAATAGTTACTATAGCTACCTGAAAATCCTATGGCATACGGGGCCTTCTTTCATACCGAAGAGAAACACATTACTGTGATGAATGGGGCTTTATAGATATATATAAAAACCTCTTACCCATACCTCTTCCTATACAACTAAGCTGTATTCTAATTTATATTTAAATGAAATGGAAGATAAGAAAAATTAAAACTATGACGTCGCAGGAAGCGCTTGTAGTTGGAGAAAAGCCATAAAGTCAATGTTATAAGTTGACAACAGGTCTCTCATCCAGGAGACTGGGGTTTGCTTCTCTGTGAGGGATTATTATTCTTTAGTTTCTCTCACTGTTTAGTTTGATTTAGGCACCAAAACTACTTTGTTAGTTTTTCCAAAATGCTTTGGATTAACAGGTTTTTCCTGGGTCACAATGGGCCTCTGGGGGTGACGACGGCAAACACGATCAATCCGCATACAGTAAAAGCAAAGAGTCTATGTTGGTTTATTTCCCTGTTATTTCTTACCATTTGATAAACAAAGCTACATATTATGCTTGACTAAATAAAACCCCAATTAACAAAAACAGTTTTTAAAAGACTGTTGTCATTTTGGCACTGGTGAGCCCTCAAAGAAAATCCCTGTTTTAGCAACACGTTCGATCCTTCCTCTTCGTTGTCTTGGTTACCAGAGTCACATCCCGTCTAATATATGATGAATATATGGAAATATACTTCCCACATTTAGTTGTATAGAAATGCAACCTTTGGGAGAGAGGGTGGAACTTTTAACCCTATAAACTGGTGTAGAGTGTTAATGATGTGCTTTGTTTTGAAAATTGCACATAGTTCCTAATGCAGATATCGAGCTAATAGGCAAGTATGCTAAAAATTGCAGCTTGAGTTACTCTATTCAAACCTTCAGTGAACTTCTCACCCTCCAGACTTTAAAAATGTATGTTTATATCCAGCATCATGTACTCACAATGTTGACCACAGACCCGCTGTGAGTAGGTAACTATCTATTACTGGACAGTTGGTACTTTGGAGGATCAGATTAGTAAACAGTCATTTGGAAATCTTCAGCTTGGTAAGTTTTACATTGAAATGCATTCTCAGCTCGGTTCATCATAATTCCACTGTAATTCTGATTTATCAGGCGTTTTTAGGCAGCTTTTCTTCTCCCTGAAATGTGTTTGATGCCGCATACTACCAGAGGACATCTTCACCAGCAGAGACTGTCTATATTATAAACCAAGTGAATACCTGGGTCTCTGTTTGCAAAACTACTTCTCAGATATGAAAATGTTTTGTAAAACTGTCACAGAGTGTGAACAGATCCTTTGGCTCGGGGGCAAACTTCTCTAAATGTAATTTCATTGCGGAATGAAGGTGTGAGAAGCGTTCATCTGTCATGCAATTAGAGTCAGGAGCGTCGAGCATAATTCAGTTAGTGCGGTTGCAGATAGTGGCGGATATGAGTATAGACAGGCCACGTGAAAACACAAAAGAAGCCGCATGACACATGAACAATGTCTAATTTTCCAAAAGCGCATTCTGCTTCCAACCCTCGCCGACTGAGCCTAAACAGTGAAATGAAATCAGATGTTGCAGTAAATTTTCCACCGTTACGTGTGCAAATCCATAATATGCCTCTTTTAAGTGTTTAAGGAAGGAATGATGGAACACCTGGCTCTATTCCTGATGTTGTTGACACGTTAGTCAGTGTTATTGTGCACAATGCATGATAGACACCCTTCACAGTGGTTTCTTGGCCAGCTGGAGTATTTCCAGCAGACTAGTTTATGATCACAAACCTAAGCCACCGTGTATCTGTGGTTTTATGTCGAGATAATCATACTTCCAGGCTTCCTGTAAGACAGAATATGGCCTTAGGGTTTCTTTGAGGATGACTCTTGCCCATTCCTCTCCTCCTTGCAGCCAGATGTGTCGGTACTCTTGCCCTTGGACGACCCCGCCATGCACCAGCCTCTCTCTGCTAACATGGGGGTGTCTATGCGTGGACTGGAGATTTTCTACTAACCTCTGACCTCTACAACATCCCGCCTCTTGATCTCCCCCAACAACTCTTTGACCCCAACCACTACTACTTCCTCTTCCCCAACGTGCCCCGCCCTTCCACTTCGTGTGGAACTTCCTGTGTGTGGCAGGTTGGAGTACAGTACTCTAGTTTCTCTTTCTCTGCTCAGACCCCCTTCATCCCTCCATCACGACTCCCTCCCTTCTCCCTCCCGGCTTGTGAGAAGGCAGTGTATCCCTTCCTTTATTTTTTTCTCTTCCAACAAGTGCCTTCATTTGCATGTTTTTTTTCTCCATGTTTGTCTCTCTTGTTTTGTTGTGTTTTTAACTTGATGGTTTGATTTTGATGGGTTGAGGCAGATAATTCATTGTGGTGTTGTTTTATTAAACTCCTCTGTTACCTCTCTATCACTAATGCCACTTTAGAGTTAAAGCAAATTGTGTTTACTGCACTGAAAAAAAAAACCCCTCAAATATAATCATTCTTGAGCCAATTAAATCTGTTTAAGAAGACAAAGTAGATAATGCTAACAAGCATCGTAGCACAGCTGTTTAAAAGCAGCCATGGGGCCACCTGCAGAGATACATAACCGTCTCCGGGGCTGCAGGAGTGTTGATTACATTCCCTTTGTGTGCAAATCACATAATGGGAATGAAGCAAAATATATGAGTTTTTCGTCCAGCACGCTTGTTCCCTATCAGTGTCAGTCGGAAACATCCATCAGCTGCAAATGCAGCATCATCAAGTGTTCAATTACACTGCCCCAAGGGACTCCCAGCACACACTCTACTACAACAGACTGGATATGAACGCATCTATTTGCCAAATTGCTGATGCTGTATTGAGCAGCACATCAGAAGCTCATTCCATGTTTACCATGTCATGCAGGGCCAGAGAAGATGCCCCCATGGCTCTTTCTTATTGTTTAACAGAAAAGTGACTCTCTTTTGATCGATTTTTATGGTTTAGATTGTCCTGGAGGACCAACAATCCAAGGGCCATAAAAACTGCTGATGCTGGGTATTAGAGATGACAGAGGTGGACATACGGGTGCACATCAAAATAATTTAGCCCTGTGGTGGCTTATCATTTTTTCAGCCTGTTTGCAAATGCTTTGACCTTGCTCTGTGAAATGTATGTTTCATTCACTGAGCGGCCTCCCATTGATTTGTGTTGCTCTTTTTTTTTGCTTTGGGGGGGGGGGCGCTAGATGGATTTGCTTTTACCTTTCCATCTGGGCTGAATAATCACTTGATCCATGTGTTGCAAATATGTCCATTCTGACTCCTCTCCCTTCTCCTCTCCGTTTATTTTTCTTATTCGCAGGCCTTCAACAAAAACAATCTCATTCTGGAAGAAAGAAATAAGTACTTCAACCCACAGCTTGCCGGGAAGACCTATACCAATGCATACTTCACCGACCTCAACACCTATGATGACTATTAACTCTCGATTCCATGCCACAGAGGAGGACACCCACCTTACCATCCACTGACTTAATTCTTTTCTTTGTGCTTTGTATTGAGATTCGTGACACCATGAGTGGGACGGTCCCACTCTGAGACTCTATGGCAGCTTGTATATGGTGAAAACACAGACACACGACGTTGCCAACAGAGGGAAATGCCCACTTTCTCTCAGGTGCCTTGGGGTACACTTGGAAAGCTCAAAATTTGGGGCATAACTTGCCTTGACTCTCACCGAGAAACGGACAACTGGATTTCCCAATGTGGACACAAAAAAAAAGGGAAAAAGAAGAACTCAATTCAAAGAGACTGTGGGAAATGTGATCCCTTTTAACTTTCCTGTGACGCCTCTAAAACAGACCTGTATTTGTAATGATGGGAAATAACCACAAATTGCTTTGCATGACTTCATCTGACGTGTTTTCTCTGCCATTCAGTTTCGTTTTGCATGTTTGATCGCATTCCAGGGTTTGGGGACTTGCAAGCAGTGTTGTTTTTTGTTTTTTGCTGGTCTTAGGTTCAGGACTGGTTTGGGAAGTCATAAAAACACATACTGCAGTGATGCCTGGTTGCTTTTACCACTTACTGCTGCAGCAATCTCCAGATGGATCAATATCCACCCCCAGTCCTAGAATCAGGATGTAGATATTTGAAGCCTGTGGTCAAGTTTGTCCATGCTTTTGTTTTGTTTTCCTTTTTATTTTTTCTCTCTAGCAGCTAGAAGTGATTGAAATATCAATGTAAAATTGTTTTCTCATTTTGTTTTTGCTTTCAAAAGATGCATTTGTTTTGTACAGGAGGTTAAGTTTGACGCCTATGTCTGTAGATTTTCTAAATACATTTATTCAGTGTCTCCAGTGTTTAAAGAACTTTTTTTTTTTGGAGGAAAAAAAAAGGTTTATGTGCATTCTGGCAAGTAATCGGGAGTATTCATATCAGCCTGCATCAAATTTAGTCTTTGTCATTGTACTTTTTATATATTTTTTGTAAAAAAAAAAAAATAATGTTTTTGAATTTTGATAGTGTTCACTATTCCTTTGGCTTCTGAGTTCAGTATGTATTTGTGAGATCAGGATGTTAATGGCATTTACTGTACAGATGGAGCGTAGCAAATACTGCTCTCCTGATACCCCAACTCGAGTGCTACCCGTATACTGTAAGATGAAATTCATTCATCAAGTTGAGACTTTTCTGTTCAGAGATTATAACCAAATATTAGGTTATTCAATTGTTCAGTTGCAACTAACTCTTTTTACTTGTTTGCTTGTGTTACTGTGCATAAATTAAAACTGCTTCCTACACAAAAGGCTTGTCAGAGTGTGAGTTATACACATTCGGTTCCCTCCAATCTCATTTGTAAAGCTTCGAAGCCTTTGATCCCATAAGCGTTTATTTTCTCTCTGGCTCTAATAAACGGCTGAAAGATGACTTCAACTTGAGTGAAAACAGACAGTGATATAAAGCACTCGCTTACAAGTGCGAGGCACTTTTGTCCAGTGTGGTTTTGCTTTTGACAACTTTGGAGACTTTGATATTCCTCAAGCAAAACACTGTAAAGCCACAGCACCATAAGCACACACCAGCACTTCATAAATCACCCAAAAACCAGAGTAAAAGACTCCCTCCACCTGTTTTTTAAAGAGAGTCTTCAGCAGGGCCCTGCGGTGACAAATGGCATCGGCTGCAACGGAAGGATACCTGAAGGATACAAATCGTGCAAGGCAGCGGGGTAAAGGTGGTGGGGGCGCTGTCTCAAGTCCAAACTCTAATCTGTATGATGGGGTGTAACACCACACACCGTGCCGCTCTCCATCAACCTTCAACCTGACGTCCCATCTGTGTGCAGAGGGTAATGGAGGGGGTGTTATTAATCACCCCGCTGTTTGGTTGGTTGAGGGTCTGACTTCAGAGAATTAATCTCTCTTTACCTTGACTTCATTCTCACTACCTCAGAAAGAGGCACTGCAGCAACAGACACCGATCATTGTATACAGTAGGGGCTAGAGGACAGTGGATGTAAGCGTAATTGTGTATATACATGTAAGTGTGTGTTAGAGGTTGGAAAAATGATGCGAGCAGCTGCTAATGTGCACATTTCTCTCTCAGTATTGGTTATCCTCAAAAGACATTTTCAAAAATACGTGCATGTTGTATAAAACAGCCATTTGTTCCACACTGACCTCGCCAAACCTTGATGGATGAATCATTACTGGATGCACTCATAATGTACATATATTTCCTGCTCGCGCATACACATCTACAGCCGGCAGACTGAAGTGTTCCTCAGCACTTTCATCATTCCATGAATTTTCCAGTAACATGAGCTATGCAGCCTGTAGTCAGTCAGACACATGTGACATTCCACTTTGACAGCAGGGCCAAGGACGATAAACGACTTTCCCAAAGTGGCATTTGGGGACTGCAAAAGGTCGCAGCTAAAGGTCACAAGAGCAGGGCTTGTGCACGTCAAAGAAACTGACTGTGTGAGTGCTTGGATGTGTATAAAGTAGTCAAAAAGTCATGAGAGGTGACTCGCAGGATGAGATGGATCACAAACTCTGTTTTTTTGTATGAAGAAGGCTTTTTGGCAAAGGGAATATTGGTCTTTGGTCCTGACGAAAATACCCCAAAAAACTTCATAATGCCTTCATAATGATTCTCTGTTTTCTCATTTACCTCAGTGAGGTTCATTTCTGTTTTGTTTTTTTTGTGCTTAAACATTTGCTACACTAATGTTCCAAACATGATAAACTGGAATAACTTTGGTGAGTGCATTTTTTATCTACAATCACAAACACACAATCTTAATGTGTTCAAAGCTTCTGTTTATGTTCACATACCTGTTTATGACCAGACAGCTGTGCTTTGTTTGGTGCTAATTAGCAATATTATAATGTGCTATGACACTAAACCTAAACTTGAAGTGTGAAACTTTTGTCTGGTATACAAAAAATATTGATGATAAACTATGAATTTCTTTTGTACTTAAAGCATAAGAAACTTTTCTTGGATGCTTCTAAGGTTTTTTCACCATGACCTCCACAATAGAGCCTGACCAATGCTGGATTTTTAGAATACTGATTTTAGAAAGAAATAAATTCAGATATTGATGCAACAGCCAGTATTATTTAAATATATAGACATAGCATGTTAGAGTTATTTAAAGGAAACATGAGTTCATTGCTTAACTTTCTAGCAGTGTATTTTGCCAACTAGTCAGTGACTTGCAGTGAAGACAAAACTTGACTCCGCACCGCTGTCTCTTCAGCTGTGATAGGTGCTCTGCTACATGTGCCGCAGACAGTTCTGAGAGCACTGGAAACAATGAACATTTTAAGACAATAGTGCTCTACTCTACAAACTATGTGATGATTTATGAATTCCCTAAACATCTTTATATGTATTTTTGTTCTTCAAAATAAAGTTTTCATATAAGACAACCAATGAACCAATGCATTTTTAAAAAGTAAATATTGGTCAGTAATATCGGCCAAGTAATAATAATAGTAATAATAACAATAATACTAATAGGTTTATTTATTCACAGGGTTGTAAAGCGCTTTCGCATAGTCCAAAAAAGATTTTTAAAAAAAGACAATTTTGATAAAATATTGTACAAAGTTAATGTGATGCAATTTAAAATAAGTTCAAACAAACATGCATACATACAACACAGAGTATCAGCACGGGAAAAGCACAGTAAAGGAGAATAGAGAGAAGACAGGAAAGACATGAGGATAAGAACACGTGATGACACCTTAAAGGAAGGCTGGCCTATAAAAGTGGGTTTTTAGCAGTTTTTTTTTAAAGACTCCAGAGAGTCAGCAGATCTAATGGCAGTAGGCAGATTGTTAGTGATATATCGGTCAGGCTCTGCTCCGAAATGCTTGTAGTTGCTTTACCGTTGTTTCCATTGCAACAGTTGCTCCCCTCTTCATCTCTGGCAAACCTCTTATTGCTAGTTAACTTAAATTACTTCACTTCTGGATGTTAAACTCCGGTGTACTATGACACACGTAGAGATTTACATGGTGCTCATCGGCTTTATCAGCATTGTGTGAACTTGTTTGGCAAGGGCTTTAATCCACCGGACAATTGTTCGTATGTTCTGCACTCAGGCTGTAATTTAATGTGGTAAGCACTGTACCTGCTATAAATCAACATATTTGCATTGTGATTGTGAGCATTTTAGCATGTTGACGTCAGCGATTTGCAAAAACAACTAAACTGGCAACGCAGTAATACAATATACCAATTTTGGCGTACTTGTTTGACTTATGTGATGTGATTAAAATCTGGAATACATTTACTATAATGGCTTTTCACAAATATGAGTCAGCGCTGTGCACAGAGCCATTTTGTTCATGAAGCATTTAGGAGCTCTGCTAATTAGCAGCCTATATACAGAGGCCTCTGAGTGGCAAACAAGGTGAGTGAGTGAGATTGTTCCTGTCAGGCAGGTAACAGAGCGTGAACATCCCATTAAACACCTCTTTTTCCTCTCGAGACCAGATTTTCTCTCATTCACATGGATCACTGTGCTTTAGACTAGTCTTTCAGCACCTCCCCGAGCAGATCCACCACCCTGTTAGCGCTGAAATACCAGCAGGACTAAGTATACAAATGCCCCCAAAATGATATCCCCAGGCTCTATTCAGCGCCAATGGTTAATCAAGCCAACACTATTCCTTCATTTGTTACTTGTGGAGAGAGAATCAGAAGAAGTTATAGCTTCGTGTAGGACGAGACCCCATGCAGTCAGTGGAGTACACTATGAAAATTGCTTTTGGGGGAGATAGCCCAGTGATGAATGTATGCTGATGTGTTATGTTTGTATGAGCTTGGAGAAGTGATGGAAGTAGATGTTGACTAAACAACCCCAGGGAAGACTGAAGACTACTGAACAATTTATGAGCTGTCATAAAATGTTGTGTTTTTTTGCAGAAGGAAAATAACAGTGATTACCGACGCCTGTCATGAAGTCGAATCCTTGAGTGGGGAGGGGAGGGGGTTTACAGTTGCCACAGTTAAAATTAGACCGCTGAGGTCTACATTACCTTACACTCACTCTTGTCTCCACCTGAGGCTAAGGTGAAGCCCTGTGGATTTACCACTTTATTTGTTGTTACTTTGACGCTGTAAATAGACCGAGTCAGACAGAAGATGCTTTAACTATCCCACAGTGTAAAAGAGCATCCCCTTAAGTGTGTTTTTTCTCTCCGCTTGTGTGTTTTGAAGCAAACATTTCCCCAGATTGAACATTACTATGTATTCAAAGCAAACAGATGAGAGAGATTTTTCAAAGCAGCTCTAATCTGCGTTACACCCTTGCTGCCATGCTTAAAGAAAAACATTTTTATTTCAGTGACATCTTCCAGGAAAATTGTGTTTTTGCCACTGATATTCTGAATCTTATGCACATTACATGAGCATCTGCTGTTGATGTAACTTTCCAAGCTTCCAGATCGCGCACAAGTCCAGCTTTCTGTATTTCCTGCTTTTTCTGCAGTCCAGATAGACGGAAGCACATCTTCCAGCAGCTCAGACAGATATGTGTGGGTAGATAGGAAGCTGGCACGACACTGCCAGCTCCATCATGCCAGACTGAAGGATGAATGTCACCATAGGCAGTAATGCCAATTGAGAGATGCCACCATAGATTCCACCCCAAGACATCTGGAATCCCAGGTGCCCATCCAATCGATCCAGGTCTCAGCTGCAGGAAGCCAAGAGTCCTCATGGGTGCCAAAAGCCTCGCAACACCGGCTAAGCCACACTGAAGCTTATCAGCTCCACCACAACCCTTTATGGGCCTATTCACCTCAATCAAAGCTGCTATTTAGGTAACGAGCCAAGATGGCGGATATCGCTGCGCTCCAATTACCCACTATGTCTCCTCCATCTTTCCCTGCCAGATTCCCCACAAGCCCCGATTCTCCTCAGTGTGCCCAGCTGCTCTGGCGCTGTTCCGCTTCCTCAGTATCTGTGTAGAGGGAGACCTTTCCGAACAGAAGGGCTTTGTCAGCACTAGATTCACTCACTGGGGCTATTGATGACTGCCATGGTGTTTTGCGAGTCTTATCAACAGTGGAAAAGGTGTCTCTCAAAGTGCAGTGCCATTGGCAAATTTGGATGTCCAATGAACCACCCCAGGCCAGACCTTTTCAGTAAGACAGTGATTATAATGATTAACTTTGAAAAGAGAGTTGCAATAGGAATGCATTTTAAGCTCCATTTTTGCCATCTGCAAGGAGAAGCAACATTTACAAAATCATATTTGCTGCAATCAAATCTTGTTGTCTCATA